CCCCCCCCCCCCCAAGCTCCTACTGCCAGAAGACCCTGCACCTCCCTCACCTCTTCCCCCACTAACACGTAAGTCCGAAGTGCTTAAAATAGCCAATCTTCTGCATTCAGTTTGGTCTGTTAGCTGGGGCAATTAAATCATTAACTGTAAGGGTATGCTAACAGGAACTAATTTTCTTATCCCAGACTCTGTTAAGATTTAAAACTGTGAAAGTGAAGCATGGAAATACCAGCCCTTAAGGAAATACCTACGCACATTAAGATTTTGTTTTAAGACTACTTAAGTTAGAGTGTTCTGTTGGGTTTTTTTGTTTATTTGTTTCTTTTACTGAATATTAACAGGAATGGTACAACTTAAAATTAGTAGGAATACACTGCAGAGAGAAGATTTCAGTTAGAATATCTTGCAGTTGTGCTGACTCTGCTCCTAGAATCTTGCTGGCTACATGCAAACAATAATGAAATACTTAGCTGTATTAAAATTATTTTTCTTATCTTAATTGAATGCAAGGACATGTCATTCCTGTTTTATATAGGTATTCTAAATGCAGAAAAATTCCCACCTCTTCTCAAAGTTTACTTATGGAAACATGTCCAGAAAAAACTGTCTCACATTCTAATATAATAAAGCATAACTGGTTTTTTGCCATTCAAGAAACAGAACTAAGATGATCAATTTAGATCAGGATTAATGATCAAGTCCTGCCAAGCACTATAAACCTTCCAATTCCACTGATTCCCATAGGAATTAAAGAATAATCACCATCTTTCAGGACACACTGCACCTATCACTTTCCCAGCTCTTCTTAATTATGGTAGAATAAGTTTAGTATTGGATACTGGAGACCTCTCATTGTTAATTCTCAATATATACTTTCATGTTTGTTTGCAGGAATCCCCTCCTTAAGTGAGTTACTTAGTTTCCTTTGTGGTCTGTTCTTTTTGTTTTCCCTAGAAATTTTTTTTTTGATAAACATGTTTGCTTTTGCTTGCTTATTGCTTGTATGTCCCCTGAAAGTAATGGGGCTTTAGTTAGATTTTCAAAAATGGTCTATATTTTTTAACATTCACTGTTACATTACAACATTATTAATTAACATAGGCTATCTGTATTTACAAAAACTCTTTAAGCCCATATATAGTACATTTCAATCCTCAAGAACAAGGCATACGCCTTTCTACCTAGCTTTGCCTCATCTTGAGCAGCTTTCAGTAATATCAAAGCAATACCATTAAATATCTTTGAAAACACTGTTTTAACAAATGGCATTTGTCAAAGCCCCAAAGTTTATTCTCCCTGGGGTCTGGGCCTGCCTGCTGCCCTGGCCCACCAAGGTAAGCCCCACACTGCTGGCTTCTGCAACGCCCTGAGGCCCGGGTGGGGAGCTGCGCTGCATGCATCCTGGCCTGGGGATAGCCACCTTCTCCTTGGAGCGCTGCCTGCACCCTGTGCTTCCGCCCCCGAAATTTATTCTTGTGAATAAAGTTACTTGAGATGTATTTGGAAATGAGTCATGAAATCATAAGGTTCAATGCTACAGAATTAGCTTAGTTCTTATTATTCACACCCCCAACAGATTGTAAGGATCTATTATGGGTACGTACAGACATTGGGGGGGTTAGGGGGTGGTCAGATGGAGTTACAGATGGTCACCTAATCTAACAGAAATCAGGAGGGGGGGGGAGCAGGTTCCAGCAGGGAGGATGGGGAGGGGCAGG